CGGGCAGAGGCAGCTGAGTGCGGGACGCCGCGAAGCGCTGAGGGGGTCTCTTCTTCTCACAGGCTGATCTTCGGCACCCTCTACCCCGCGTACTCCTCCTACAAGGCCGTGAAGACGAAAAACGTGAAGGAATATGTGAGTACGGGTTCGCCGTGCCGGCGCAGCGCCCACCCTGTCCCTCGCGACAGCCCTGTAAGCCCCTGGCCTGTCCCCGAGCCGAGGGCTCTCCGGCTCCGCGGGGGCGTCGGGTCAGCCAGGCCGCCTGAGAAGGAGCAGCCCCGACAGGCTCTGGAGAAGTTGCCGAGGAAGGGCGCTTAATAAAATGGGAGGTCTCAAACCGTAAACGGGGGCTGTTTTTTCTCAGGAGGTGCTGAGTGAGGATGGGAAAGTGGGGGAGACTCTGCAGTCTAGAAGGATCTGAAAGTCCAGGACAAGTTTTTTCCTCTAACTTTATCCTTACTCTGTGTGCTTTTACTGCTTTTTTCAGTACCGCTTTTGTTTTCTTCTAAAAAGCTGAGTAATTTTGCTTGGTTTGTGTCTTCCTATCAACCTTACTTACAATCAACGTTTTCTGTTGCTCAGGACTTCATCCTCCTTCCTTTCTGGAATTGTTTCCCCATCTCCGTCTACGCCATTCCTACAAGTACCATATATAAAACACTAAATGCTTTTTAACAATGTGATGTGTTGTTTTCTTACAGAGGGGGTATTCTAAGTTGATCAGTAGAGACAAGAACTATTTGGCTTATGGGTGGGATGATTTTCTATCAGGTTTCCATTACCTGATGGAAAAGAGAGGTAACATAGGTGAATAGGGTAGAATTTGCAACTATTGTTTTGTGGTGCAGTCTGAGACTCTTTAACTGACTGTGCTCCTTACAGAATGACACATCAGCAATAAGTATTGCAGTATATAGTCCTTTTTTGGTTTATGCTGCTTCGGTCCTCTAGAATTCCCTAGATCTTTCTTCTGTGTTGGCTTAAAATTCAGCCTGCTGGTTTCTGAATGAGATGCCAGCTGAGGTGAGAGTCTCCCTCATAGCGGACAGCTTTACAAATCACAACATCTGGCTGAGTTTTTTTTGGGTTTAGGCTGTTGGTTTGTTGGGGTTTTTTTGAATACTGGTCTCAGCAGAGAAGTTGAAATGTGAATGCTCAGGAGGCATTGATAACTGATACAGTGTTTTGAGTGAGTATTAGAGATATAGTCAGAAATACAGTAAGCCTTACTAAACTTTATTAGTAATAACATTAGAAACTGAAAAGAAAGCATGACAGAAACTATCTGAATAATCACAAGATCCTGTGACTTCATAGTTGTCTCTGAAGTAATATATGAAGTAGTATCCTATTGCTATTGTCTTCTCTGGCCACTTTCTCCTCTTTCCTTCCAGTTGACTATTACCTTCATTTGTTGCATGAAATGCATATTTTTTTACCTGTGATTTTATTCTGGTTTATGAGTGTCTGTCACAGAATGATTGTTCCAGTTACAGAATCTGTGTTAACTTTAAGACAGACTCAGATTTCACAGTTTTAAATTGTTCTGTTGAGAACTAGAGAGGGGAAAAAACCCACCTCTCTTTTTTTTTTTTTGAGAACAGCCTATAGCATGCTTGTTCTGGAGCTCGCAGACCCAGTAAATATGGAGCCTTTGAATTTGTAGGCATTCTTTACTGTAAAAACCTGCTCATTTGCTGTGGGTAGGTTAGCTGTTGAGGTACACAAATGTTGTGTTTCCTTGCAGAATCTAAACTTTCTATTGATCTTTGGACTCGTGCAAAGCATTTGACACTGTCCTGCGTGACATCCTTGTTTCTAAATTGGAGACACATGGATTTGATGGATGCACCACTTAGTGGATAAGGAATTGGCTGGATGGTCACACTCAAAGAGTTGTGGTCAACAGCTCAATGTCCAAGTGGAGATCAGTGATGAGTGGCGTTCCTCAGGGGTCGGTACTGGGACCGGCACTGTTTAACATCTTTGTTGGTGACATGGACAGTGGGATCGAGTGCACCCTCAGTAAGTTTGCCGATGGCACCAAGCTGTGTGGTGTGGCCAACACCTTGGAGAGAAGGGATGCCATCCAGAGGGACCTTGACAGGCTGGAGAGGTGGGCCCGTGTGAACTGCATGAAGTTCAACAAAGCTCTTGGATCCCCAGTAAAAGAGACATGGACATGGAGCTGTTGAAGTGAGTCCGGAGGAGGGCCACGAAGTTGATCAGAGGGCTGGAGCACCTCTCCTATGAGGACAGACTGAGAGAGTTGGGATTGTTCAGCCTGGAGAAAAGAAGGCTCCGGGGAGACCTAATTGCGGCCTTCCAGTACCTGAAGGGGCCTACGGGAAAGATGGAGAGGGTCTGTTTATCAGGGAGTGTAGTGACAGGACAAGGGGGAATGGGTTTAGGCTGAAGGAGGGTCGATTTAGATTAGATGTTAGAAAGAAATTCTTTACTGTGAGGGTGGTGAGGCACTGGCACAGGTTGCCCAGAGAGGCTGGGGATGACCCATTCCTGGCAGAGTTTAAAGCCCGGCTTTAGGCAACCTGGTCTAGTGGAGGGTGTCCCTGCCCATGGCAGGGGGGGTTGGAACGAGATGGTCTTTGAGGTCCCTTCCAACCCAAACCATTCTATGATTCTGTGGTCTGATTTTCTTTTGGTAGATGTTACCTTAATTGCTGTAAGACTTCCTTAATCTAGTGGTGGAAAAAAAAGAGGTACAGAACTTGAGTATCATAAAGTTGTCTTAGTAATATTAGCTAATCACCTGGTTGTAAGCCCCATGTAAAAAGTCAGTGGAAAACTTGAATGCTGTGCTGCACGTTCTCAAACCCAGCTACATCTATGTACTAGTAGCTCATTGTGCTTACGAACCAACATCAGTGGGGGAGAAAGATCTTACAGATCTATCTGTGCTGGAGAGTGTGGTGTATTGAAGATTGAGTTGACACAGACCAAGTTACTACTACAAGCAGTCTGTCTATGGCGTCAGAGTGCAGTGCAAACTTACTCTTCTGCCCCACCATGATATAAATTTATGATCAGTCCTTGAGCATCTGTGACAAACTGCTGTAGTAGCTCAGACTGTTTTAAAAGTAATTTCTATTTAGGTGTCATCTTCAGCTTTTGTCAAGTCTACATTCCAACTATGCTTTTGCATTTACTGAATTTATTTAGGTTCTTGATGCAAGCTGGGGAGACTACATATGTGCAGTTAGCTGAAGTTGGTGGTCTTCAGCTTGAGCAGCAAAGACCTGACTCCTTTTTAATGGATTGGGGAAAAAGAAAAAAAAAAAAAAAAAAAAAGCCTGGTTTGACCCTCAGTTTTTGAAGGTGTTTGTAAACTGTGGATTAAAAACATTGTAAGAAAAAAAAATTAGTGATTCTTCCCCTCTGCTTTTTCCTCTTTTAATTTCTGGTCATTTGCACTTTGGGGACTTCTAGAGCTAGAAGCTGGATCCTTCCAGTTTATTTAACAGCTATGTTTCTTTTTATCTTTGGCTGTGCAGCGTAAGGTGAAGCATGACAGGAGGAAACAGGGCAAGAGACCTGTGTCCAGTATCAAAGATGTGAACGTGCAGTTTATTTGAACAGTAACAAAGCAATGTTTACTGTTCTTCTCGGTTCCTCTTCTAATATTCCTGAGCATTCTGTTAGCAGAATAAAAAAGTCTAATGAGCACAGAGCTTATGGTTTCATCAGGCTGTGTGCAGTGACCACTGCTGAGTGGCCTGAGCTAATTTATTACCTGTAATAGTTTTCACTGAGAAATAACAGTTACTGAGTGTTCATTACTTTGTATTTAATGGCATTTAGTGACAAGATGTCAACTGGTATCAATCAGTATAGATCCCTTTCTGAATTCTTTAGTCAACTCATATCTAATACCCTGGATAGAAAAGTATCTTCAGCACATTTTGTCATTTTATTATTCGTAACCTTTTCCAGATCTTTCATGAAGATGAGCAGCACAGATCTCAACACTGATTCCTGTGGGATTCCACTGGTAACTTTCCTCATTGTGAAGAATGGCCATTTATTTTTACCCTTTGTTTCCTCTCTTTTAACCAATTGTTAATCCTCAAGAGTCCCTTCATTTTTATCCTTGACAATTTAGTTTCTTTGAGTGTTTATTTAGGCTTATTGGAAACTTTGTAGAAACTCTATAGCAGGAACTTACGGAAACCTTCTAAGAATTCTGCTACGTTTGTGAGATTATTTTTTTTCTGCAAAAAACATATTCCTCATTATGTTATACATATCAATGTATCTGCAAATTGCTTTTATTATTATTGCCTTCATTTTGCCTAGTACTGAAGTAATATTTACTGGTATATAGCTTCTCTGAAATCTCTCACCAGCTGGGATCACTGTTTGCCACCTTTGATTTGTCATTGTTCACACACTTTTTCATGCAGGAGCTGATTTATGTTGCTGCATTGAAGAGTTAACCATTTGTTTCATAGAGTTGGTTTAGAAGTCAAGTGAATGACTCCTGGTCCTGTCCAAACTGATGATACAAGGAAAAAAAAAAGGGGAGGGGGGCAGGAGAGAGCCATAAAGCACAAGTTTTGCTACTTTCTGTTGTGAAAAAATTGCATAATAAATTAGAATTTGGGCTACTAACCACTATCTTCAAAACCATCCACTGTATTAGAGGGGTTGGAGGCAGCGTAATTTTATTGTTTTTTTCAGAAAGGTTTGGGGGGGTCTTACAAGAACAGATCACCAAATTATCCAATGCATGCAAGTTTGGGGAAATACCTGCTTTTATAACTTCATTTGCTGTAACAAAGACTGTCACTAAACTGTTAATGTAATTTTAATATGTGGATTAATGTGTGGATTTAATGTGTGGAATGTCCTTGATTCAGTTCAGTTCTCCTTTCCCATTCTTGATGACACTAAGAGTGTTAAGTTGCTTTTAGCAAAGGTGACCTCTTCTTTCCATTTATCTGCTACTTAAATTTATTTTTACTACTTAACAGCATAGAAACCTGGCAATTTCCCTTATAAGATATCAACTTTACTGCTATTGGAAATTTTTGGGTAGCAGTTTTTATAATTCAGCTGATTCCTCTTTAGGAATAATTGGCCTGTAGCTTAGAGACTTGGTACTAAAACAGCAGAGAGAGTGTGTGTTTTATGGGGGAATTATTTTATGTTTGCTTTGAAAGAAATGCCTACTGCTCCAGAGAAAGGTGTGAGGAACTAGGGAGATAGATGATAGCCATACAGATGTGCCATAATAGCACAAAGTACAGAAGACGTTAAACAAGAAGATAAGGTTCATGCGACATGTTCTTCGCTTTCTTACCTCTCTTACTGAGCCTTTATTTAAAAAGAAAAGTGCTCATGTAATTTCTGGGAGTAATGATCAAGGCAAAGAATGCTTATTAATGAGTTAGAGCAAAGTACTGTATCTGTTGGTTTGGGTAGGTTTTTTTCTTCCCAAGAAAAAACTTTAAATCAAGAAAATCTAGGGCTACAGTTGAAACTAAACTTTTGCATATGTGTGAACATATATATATTTATTACAATAATCATGATATATGAAAGACTATAATTTTTTAAAGTGAACTGTTTACTCTTTTTAGATAGCTTATTTGAGACTTTAACACTGTTGCATCATGATATTGCTGCAGGGCATGCATTCATCAGTGTATCTGTATGCATTTATCTGTTTAGAGCACATTAATCCTACATGTTTTCCCAAACTATAATGTACCATTTGATATGTGACTCTCTCCATTACTGATTATATATGCCGTCTGTTGCTGAATTCATCTTAACGTGTGGAGATGATGAGTCATTTTTACTGAGAAGACGTTTTGCTTTTTTCTGGGTTCTGATGGATGTCTATTGAGTGACTGTTCTTTTGCAGGTGAAGTGGATGATGTACTGGATTGTGTTTGCCTTTTTCACCACTGCAGAAACACTTACAGATATTGTTCTTTCCTGGTGAGTTCCTGGGTGGCATGGGGTTTTTTGTTGGGTTGGTGGTTTTTTGTTGGTTTTTTGGGTGGAGGGGTTTTTTGGCGCTTTTTTTTTTTTTTAAAGAAGAGTAGTGTTAAGACGCTAAGAATAAACTGTCTCTCCATTAGGCGTTTTTGATTGCTATGAAGAGTCTGCAGGTTTGTAGATATTGTGGGTAGTAGCTGCTGTCTTAGCTGTTTCTTCTGTACTTGCAAACAGTTAGGATAAATACACGGTATCTGTAAGAGGTTCTTCATCCACTCATAACACAAAGTATTTTGAGCAGCTCTTGATGTGAACTAGTACAGTTTGAGAAAAGGTGTTCTAAAAAACACTTAAAAGAAAAAAGATGGTAGAAGGAAGGGACCTGTTTTGCTTTGTGAGCCTGTTGTGTGGAGGAGCAGATCAAGTCCATGTCTGTGCTCTGAGTGGTGTTTTGCATTATGAAATTCTCTTCCACTAGTGGCGATGGGATGGAGTGGGGTGGGGGAAGCAGATTCTTAATCCTTTCAGTGCTGTGTGTCATGCTTGTCATAGAAACATTGAACAGTTTGGGTTGGAAGGGACCTTAAAGACCATCTCGTTCCAACCCCCCTGCCATGGGCAGGGACACCCTCCACTAGCCCAGATTGCCCAAAGCCCCATCCAACCTGGCCTTGAACACTGCCAGGGAGCCGGGGCAGCCACAGCTTCTCTGGGCACCCTGTGCCAGTGCCTCACCACCCTCACAGTAAACAATTTCTTCCTAATATCTAATCTAAATCTACCCTCCTTCAGCTTAAAACCATTATCCCTTGTCCTATCACTCCATACCCTTGTCAACAGTGCCTCTCTAGGTTTTTCATGTCTTCAACTGAACCTTTGGAACAGAGTATCTTCAGTTTCTTCCTTGCTTTAGTGTTTGAGCTTTGCATACATCTCTGAAAGAATACTAGTCAAGAGTTGTATTTTTTTAAAGAAACATGAAATGGCTATACACGCCTTACAAAACTGCTCAGCAGTTTTGCCTCTTCCTGCATAAAACGTTGAAAAGCAGACGGATCTAAAAAGTACAAGAGCTTTGGCTTGTTCACGTACTTAAAATGGACCACTGAAAACAGAAGTGTGTTACCGCTAATAGAGACAATAGAAAGTTTGCATTCACTTGTTTCAATCTCTGCTACTGTATCTTCCCAGAGACTTTATTGAGTAAGGGTCAGGGATGAAAGACATGCTGCCTGCTCTCTTTCATTTTGTGTGTTATCTGAGGAGTACCTACTGGAAGTTTCAGAAACTGAGCCATGAGCCTTAGCAGGAACTTGACATTTATTGAGATACGTAGTTGAAAACTTTGGAAAATGAGAGGGAAACTAATGTAATATTAACATCCAGTGGATACTCTCTGAACAAACTTCAGAATGATGAGAGTAGCTATCAGATTGTAATTTGGTGTGTTTGCAGGGCTGAGAGATGCCCTGTTTATGGAGTTTTCATGGCTATGGATGAAAGACTAAATGAGACTCGAAGAAGGTATGTCCTAGGATTCCAAAGAGGGTTCTGCTATTCTGACCTGATACATTGATTCTTTTATTTCTGAGCCTTTATCTTGCCTTTGCTCTTTCTGCCTATGCTGCTGTCTACCAGTTACCTCAGTCTGCCTCTGCTGATCTTGATTCCAGTTTCCATCTTTCTCTCTTTCTCCTTTTTTTTTTTTTTCTTCCCTCTTTCTCTCAGGTTTCCCTTTTATTTCGAGCTGAAAATTGCATTTGTGATTTGGCTGCTCTCCCCTTACACCAAGGGCTCCAGTGTCCTCTACAGGAAGTTTGTGCATCCAACGCTCTCCAATAAGGAGAAGGTACTCGCTTGTTGTTAGAAGATACTGACCTGTCTGGGAGCTGACTGACTTCTGATTCAGTTATGCCACAATAAAAACTGAAATGCATGAATCATGCTTGTGCTGACATTAGTGGATGTAGAATGATTTTGTTCCTGACAACAATGTCTGCAGCTTACTGAAAATTGTAATGTAGCCAGTAGTTTGCCTAATGCTTAGAAAGCATGTTTGGCTAACCCAGTGTCATGAGTTGTTATAGTCACTGTCAGTAGTTAAGCTTTTTGAATCACGATAAGAGCAGTGTGTTCTGTAGCCATGCTGTTTGTTCGCATTGTCAGTATAAGCAACTGCTTTCAGTTGTTAAAATCTGGAGATGGCATACTTTAGGTAGAAGTTGCAATTGTAAGCTTTCTGTAAGTGGCAGAGAAACTGCAGTTACGTGATCAATGACAGCAGATGCTGGTAGCCTGGAAAAAAGCATCCAGATGAGCTTTGGGTTCTTACGGGTGATGGTGGGGAGACTTTGTGTTTGTAACAAGGAGCTAAATGCCATGTTCCACGTTGCCTTCCTAGGAAATTGATGAATACATTACTCAGGCTCGTGACAAGAGCTATGAAACCATGATGCGAGTTGGCAAGAGAGGGTTAAACCTTGCTGCCAATGCAGCAGTTACTGCAGCTGCAAAGGTAATGCAACACCTTCTGTAACGTTTAGGAATTCCCCAGCAGTTTAGTTTTGTGTGCCAGTAGTTAGTGCTATGGGTCTGTTAGGGACGCTGGTACTTGTTGGCACCAATCTACCTTTCCTTTCCTCCAGTTTGCCTTGCAGTTAATCCCATCCTTTGACTTACGAAAAGTGGAGGGAGAGTGGAATGGATTTTGCTTTAACCTCTTCCCTGTTGGTCTTGGGAGCATACTTTTCTTTTTCCCTTCTGTTTTTTTCAGAGTAACCTAGTGGGGAATAGGGCACCTTTCCTCTTCTTCTGAATGATCCAATGTGAGGTGATCTTGGTGAAGGCGAAGTGCCCTTGAACCTAACTTTTATGTCCTCTTAGGGCCAGGGAGTTTTGTCTGAGAAGCTGAGAAGTTTCAGCATGCAGGATCTTACTCTCATCCGGGATGAGGATACCGTGCATATGCGAAGCCATGAGCCACAGTTGCACCCTTCTGGTGGGAGTCTTCTTGAAACCATTGAGGATTCAGGTACAGAGTACCCCTGCTGGGCCATCGTATGAGGCCTCATATGATGAGGTGGGGGGTGGGGGCGGGGAGGAGAGGTTCTCTGGCCTTTTCATGCATTGGGTCTTAGACGGACTACAAGATTCCAGGTTACCTGGGAGAAGTTGCATTGTCTTCCCCTAGGCCTTTCCCCTCTACTAACAGATTTCAGTACTTTTTGGGTTATCCTTCTTAAGGATTGTTGACATCTCCCTTTCATGTGGTCCTTTAGAATGGGCCATTTTAGACTTCATGTGATTTTTTTTTCCAAAGTATTTGCTAAAACTTCCTCTCTCATTCCTTAGCTTCCTGTTGCTCCTCAGGAGAGGAAAGCAGTGTGGCACAGAGGTCTAATGGAACCCCATCGGAGACTAGAACAGACCCATCAGATGAAGATGCAGGAGACAAACTTCCTAAACGTACCCAGAGTCTCAAAACTCCTAAGAAGGTGATGAAAGCTGAGGTGAGCTGGTGTGTAAAGTATTTCCAGCACAGACATTGGTTTGTGAGCTTTGTTGGAAGGCTCTGGCTTCATAGTCTCGGTCGTTTAAAAGCTGTTTGTATGAACTTTGCTGGACTAAGTCTTTGCTAATTGAGTCCTACATCAGAGGACTTGGCATCTACTTGCTATACTAGTTTCTAGCTTTTGGGTTTTTTATCATGCCTGTAAACCTCTGTCATAAGCCAAGACCCAGCTTTGCTTCCATTCAGGTTTTGTGTTGAAGGGTGGGGCATTAGATACTTCTAACGTGTTTTGTTGACCATATCCTCTCTCCTGTCTGTTACAGTCTGAATATATAATACCACTGTGATATTTATCCCTGGGACAGCTGCTTTCTCCTCATCTAAAATGCAATGGTTCTGTACCCTCTTAGGCCTTCCTGGACTTCTGCATATTAGATATAGGGAAAATGTAATTTCCCCCTCCACACCACTCCCCACCACCCCTGCTTCCCCCACTGCCCCCCCAGGGTTTTGTCTTGAAGTTTAATTAACTAGTTGTTGTTGAGCTGTCCCCTCCATATGACCATGTGATGATCCAAGATATTTACAGCCATTCAAATGGGACATGAGTTGCCTGTATTCTTATTAAAACAAACCATACACAAAAATAAATGCAATTGTGTCCAAGAGCCATTTTAGCTTAACAATTTTATTTTTTTTTTCAGCTGTTGGTGTGTTTTGTAGAATATGCATTTTGAGGTGCTGCTTTCCAGGTTTTGACTCGAACTTTTCTTGTGGTTTGATTTATACGTGATAAAATGCTTCCCTTTTTGTGAAGTTGGGGTCCTATTTGCTTGATTCAACTCAGATTCCTAATTTTGTTTTTTATTTTTATTTAAGATACAAAGTGCTATGACTGGCTCACATTGTTGAGCTTTCCAGGCTAAATATTAAATAATTTGGAGGAAAATAATTGCTTAGAGCATCATTTTAAGCCTTACTGTTAACCTGATTTTACAGTGTACAGGACACCTTTGCATGTGATTTAAGTACTCTTTGTAACAGAATCACAGAATAGTTGAGGTTGGAGGGTACCTCTGGAGATCATCTGGTCCAACCCCACTGCTCAAGCAAGGCCATCTAGACCCAGTTTCCCAGGACCATGTCCAGATGGCTCTTGAATGTCTCCAAGGATGGACATGCAAAGATGCATTCAACGTCAGCCTGGATCTTTTTTAAATTCCCAAGGCTTACTTCTGAGTTGACTCCTCTGCTCTCTTCTCTAGCATATTAGATAGTAGCAAGGAAACAAGAGGAACAAAATTTGATTCCAAGCTTCCTAGTGGGGAATTTTTAAAGTGAAATCGTGAAAAGACAGTAACAACTCTTCTATGCTGTTTATTGTGACCACAGAAATTCTGATAAAGGCTTTTGCAGGCGTATTGGGTTTTATGTTCAGTCTGTTTGGATCTTTGGTTCAGATATAGGAATTGTAGGAGGTCTTTGACTGACATCTCTGAGATTGCCCAGAAGGGCTGAATGCATCGTAGATCATAAATGCACTCTTCTTGCCAGTATCTAGAATGGAAGATACTGGAGTAAAGTGTGCAAACTAGTTCAAGATGTTTCTACATCTTTCAGAGAACAGCATTTGGGATGGCAGTCAAGAAGCAGAAAAGTTATAACAGTGAAGTGTTGTGTGAATATTAACAGTTAGAAATACTACTACGTCTAATCTTTTGTTGAGACAGCTGTCTTTGATTTTATTATCACATTTGTCCTGTTTTAGAATGTCCTCCTTTCCTGGCTGCTATTTGATGGATACGCTCAGAGTGATTTGTTTACTAACCAAAACCAAATGGAATGGTTAAATAACCTGTTTGAAACAACAGATGACACGAATAGGGTCATCATGTTGTCATTGTTTTGTCCTATTTTCATTCTGCATTCTTGTATCTTTCTGTTAGACATTTAAGTGTTAAAGTAAACTAACCTAAGATGCCTCTTTTTCTTTCTCCTCAGCTTCCAGTGAGAAGTGTGAAAGCCCGCCCTAAGAAGAAAGCTGCAGGCTCTCTTGCTTCTGGCGAGTCATCCTAAGGAGACCTCTCCCTGCCCAGCACCTGTTTCTGTCCCGGGATTTGCCTATCTCTTTTGAAGGGAAACTCCCCAAAGGAAGGGAGCTGAGATTCATGTACATAACAGATACTGCTTTGTAGAGCCCATTCCAAGGCAAGGGGGAGGCTGGGATTCAGAAAATAGAGTAGAGGATACACATCCTCAGGAATTTTCTCCTTTTCATCTCTCTGTTGAAGGGAATGCTGATATGTTTGTACATAGCCTGTTGCTTTGGAATTCCCGCTGTATAACCCTAGTTGGGGAGAATCTTTGCTGGAAGAACTGGCTAGGGTTAGAGACATCCATTGCACAGAAGCTGGAAAAATATTAGACACTGGAGTTCCGCAGGGGTGGGTGGCTCCCTAAAATGTCTTATCTTGCTCTGGGTATTCTTCTGCAGCTGTGTGTTGTTAAGAAGTGCCCATTATGATTCATCCTCCTTAAGAATGGACTGTACCTGTCATGTCCATCCCCTTTGAGAAGGTGACTGAAATTATGTACGCTGAATGGTTTTGAACATAAAGGACTAGCTCATGGGAGAAGTATGCTAGATTCCTGTTACTAGTACTGGAAGATGAAGAGATTGGGTTTTTATTTTTTTTCTGGAAGGTGAAGGGAGATAATTGAAAAACTGAGTAATGAAGAAAATGTGCTGTTACATGCACATGTGATGGAGTAGATACAGGTATCTGTAAGACTTAACAATTGAGAAGAAAAGTTGGGCATCTGTAAGATTCTGGCTCTTTTTCAAGCTGCTTGAATTTTATTTCAGGTTCTGTTGTTTGCTTTGATTCCTGTGAGACCATCAGAGTTAGGCGAGTCCCATGCAGTGGGAAAAGTTGACAGAGAGACTGTTGCTTTGACGTTCAGGGGTTGAACTGCATGTCATCCCGATGCTTGTTACTATGGACAAATTCTTGCATTCTAGTAGGTGGGTGGGGAAAATCTGGCTCAATATAGTCTGCAGGCATACTTGAGAACTTCAGAAGCCCTTATATCTCAGCTTTAGGAGATCCAATCCTCATGGCATGAGACCTGATAAATAGCTGATGTATGAATTTCACTAATTCCAGGATTCCATTTATGGGGGATAAAAAGCAGGGAGTAGGGCACAATACTGTGATTAATCAGTCCTCTTGCTTTATCCTACTGCAACTCTTGCACAAATTTTCTGTCTGACCATGTGCCACGTTTATCAATGTCCTGAGACTTGAGCAATATGTAACACTTGGGACAGAACTACATTGAATGTAGAATATGTATTGTGGGAGTGAAATTGCAGTGCTGCAGAGAAAATTTGCACCATGCCAAGCCATACTGGAATCTAATCTGTTGAACATTGTTAAGAGGCAATCCCCCGTATACATGCTAGCAGAGTCAATGGGACTTTGAGATAAGTAGGGTTCCTGCTGTTGAGATCTGTAATGGTGCTCCCCCATTATAGACATGGCTGTCTAAGTGAAGACTTGATGATATTAATCTTTGCTGAAGCTAGTTATCAGAGGAACCTGGCTCCTCCTTCCCTACTGAAGACCATTCTGAGCTCAGGTGCAGGCACTTGTTTGCCAACATCTTGCTGTCACATTTCCAAAATTACAGTGGATTCTTTACAGAGCCCAGTATTTTGCTGTTGATAATATATAGAAGCGCTTCTGCAAGTAACGTTCCACAAGTACATCTACCCTAATGAATAGCCCTTCAGAAGTTTGTAAAGTTAAAGATTAGGACTGAACTTTTTTTTCTTATTTTGCATTGTCTTGGTGGCAAGTTGTTATGAATTGACTAGGGTTTTTAGGAAACCAATTAAGTTGGATTTACTTTTATTTGTAGCTTTTAAAAATTGAAGTCTTGACAGACCATGTCAGAAACTTGCATCTCGTCAGAAATACTTGTCCTAAATTATCCACAAGACCTTATTCAGGAGCCAGTAGAAAACCCTTGGTTTGGCTTTGAGTTTCAGAAAAAAAACCCAAGTATTTTGTTCTTTTTAGTTTGTTAGCAAGCATTGTATACGTGTCTCACTAGTACGTGCAAAGCCGCGTCCTGAAGCAGGAATTCTTTCTGTTTCCAGAGGAAATTCCCCTCCATATGAGGGATAAAAATCTTTACTGTTTATGTGAAAGAGTCAGTTGTGAGGAATTGCTGTCCTAGATTTTACTGTACTGAACAAGATAGACCCATTATTCTCTATATACCAAGTATTTCTGTGACCACATTTCTTGATTATTTTTTTTTTTAATTAAAAATTTCCATAGCAAATTATTTATGTAAAGCATTGTGAGGGACTTGATTTGGAAGCCAGGGACTGTTTAGTCTCCCCTTATGCTGATCTTCATGCCTTTTACTTGTGCATGCATTGTGCTTAGTCTTGGATTACTTGGTTTTCATACAGTGACTTTCCAGAATGTTTTCTAGAATCCGTTCATTTGTAGTAACTCTTCCTGCTTTGAATCACAGGAAGAATTTCTGAAGACTCGGTTTTGGCATTTGGATTTACCTTTGTCTTCCTGAGCTAGGTCCTGTGCTAAGTATCTTTTACTTAGCATTGGTGCTTGATGTCATTAGCCTGTGGGTAAGTACGGGTCAGTCTTACTCTGGTGTTTGTTGTGCAGGGGAATTAAATGACTTCTGGTTGTAAGAGTCTGGATTAGAGTCAGGGACTATTATCTAGTGTGTGATACGAAGCTGATGATGTCAAGCAGCAGAACTTACCCAGAGCAAGAACAATGTCTTCGTATGGACACTGTATTTTCTTCTTCCAGTACACGTGTGACTGCTAGATTGTGCTCTGCTTGATCAAAGCCTCTGCAGATCTGCCACCACCTGTGTGACCTCTTAGTGAGTTTCTAGATATAGTTCTGCACTGGATGGCATGGTCTTGCATAGAAATTCTCTTGTTAATGAGAACGCTGAATGTGCTGTTTTGATAAAATGCTTTTATCAGCTGTTGTTCAGTGTTTTCAGCATGAAATGCTGGAACGTAGTTCCTCTTCAGTATCATCTGTGGGCTTCATTGTGCAATTAAGCAAATGGTTAAATCTTCACCTAGCAGTAGAACCCATTGTGTTCAGTAAGTGTTTATACCCCTTTTGTAATATGCCTGGGCACAGAGACACACAGTAAGAGAAAATCATACCTTAAGTTGGGGGGCTATGGGGGTCCTGCAAGTATTGTCAAATTTTGCGTGCCTAAAAATTACCCTAAAATACCTGTACCATGAGATACAAAGTGGAGCCATGACTGCCTTTTGGAAAGAAATGTACCTCCACGCTTTATAATACTATGAGTCATTGTTCTGTTGTTGGAAAAGAAAATAGTGGAATGTGGTTTCCCTTCTGAGAAACTTAATGATTTGCTGCATAAAAGGGAAAAATGTTTTCTTGCTTGGCAGTATCCCCCATGGTGGGTAAGAAATAGGAAAATACAGGGGAGACTACTGTCAGGTTTCAAACCCTACGCTTCAACTAAACATCTTAATTTCTTACTGATTTTTATGGAGTTTCTGATTCTCTGGCCTTATGTTTCTGAGTCTGGGGAACTGATTTCTTTTAGACTGGATTAACTTACTTGGTAGGTAGAGGGTGTGTTAGAGAGAGGGATGCTGGTGTTCTTAAAATTGCAAAGCTTATTCTGGGGAAGCTACACCTTCCCCCGTTTTAGTGAACTGAGTTCCATTCACTGTCCTTTTGCAGTGCTGGACTTTTTTTTTTAATACATCCCTCTTTGAAGTATGACTCTCTCACAATATATGGCCAAGTCACTTCTGCCTTGAAAAGCAAGATTTCTAGAGAACCCCAACTTTCCAGAAATTGTTATTTATTTTTTGCCATCTTTATCAGCAGGAAATATAGTGCCTTAGGAGGAGAGTGGGATAACTATGGAATACTCTGCTGGTTCTCTGATCTGCACATAGCATTGTATCAAGGAGGCTTGCATGTTAACTGTGAAGTTTCGTTACGTACTTGAGAGCAGCTGTTGAAGTGAGCTAAGTTTTCCTATCTGTCTTCCAAACTTGCATATAATGCTGAAAAGCGTGGCTTATTGCCTAAGAGAGAAATCTAGGGAGGGCAAAAAAAATATTCTTATCCTTCTTTCTGATGGGGACACTGTATTGTAACATTACTCTGCTACTTGCTGGGGAGATGCTGAATCACATCTCTCTATGTACCTGGTCAGTACTATAGCTTTTCTTGCTTTACCCACTAAAAATTTGTAATGTGACACCTGGCTGCTTTCTGAGTTGCCCTGTAAAGCCAGATAAGTGGAAAACCAGCAAAGTATTCTGAAGCTATATGAGCTCATAGAATCATAGAGTTGTTGGGGTTGGAAGGCACCCCTGGAGGTCATTTGGTTCAACTTCCCTGCTGAGGCAGGGCCGCCTAGAGCAGCTGCCCAGGAGTTCCTTTGTGCTATTTGTGGACTGGAGCCTAACATTTAAGAGCTGGTACGTGCAGAAATTTGTATGCTGTATGGGGATGTGCTTTAGTGTTACTGAGGAGAAAGAATTCCCAGTCACCTTCCATCTGAAATTTGGCACTATTACAAGACGCTGTAAACATAATTCAGTCTTAAGTTTTTTATAGGTATTGTTAAGAAGCCTAGAAACTTCAGAAGAGGCCTTAAGAAGTGTGCAGAGTAACTTGTGAGAACAATTGGTTTGAACAGTAAATGAAGACAATAAACCTGCATAGCAGCTAAGAACCTGTCTTGAGAGATAGAGTGGAAAATGGACTGTGTACAGTACAGAGTTGTCCAGGAAATACCGCTGACTACTTTCTCATCCTCAAGCAGTACTTAAACTCTGTTCCCTACAGATTAGAGCCTGATTTCTCTCTTAGAGCACCTTTCTCTGTCTTACTTTTCTAAACTGGGCTTGAGCTATATGCATGGAGATTCTTGAACCTTTCATTACTTCAGAACAATAGGGTTTGACTTTTACCTCAGCAGGCAGCTGATCTTCAGGGAGGACCAGATGAATATCAAGTATCTCACATTACTGTCTAGTAGATGTGTTATGCTGGGGAAGCACCAGCAGGGAGTTCCAGATACATTCATGTGGGAAATTACCCCCCACACCCACCCCCAAAGCCTACATTTTTGGATGAACAAAATGATGGACTTTGCTATGCTCATACACACAGCTACCTGTAGCATCCTAAAATTCAATGTTGTAATTGCCAGTGCTGTATTTCTGATGAGAACCGAAATCAAAATAATACGAAGTGAAAAGAAATAGTGGCAAATTGGTGGTATTTTTCTGCAATTTTGCAAGTAAATTTAGGTCTCTGCTGCTTCTTTGCCTAAAACCTTCATGTAAACC